AGTTGGTCGAAAACTGGCTGGCGCCTAGTCAGACTCATCCCCTCCCGCGACGCGCCCCAGCGTCCACTGTACCCAAGACTGCAGTTGCGCAATGCTTAAATGAAATTGAGCATTAAATGAGAAACGATCTTATTTACTGTTCTAGATCTGTCGGCTAACACTATAACTTCACCTCCAGAAGAAAGTGTTGGTAGCGAAGGTGAGTTACTGCTAGTTTATTAAAGCTGGGATAATGGAGCGTTATCATTCATACTCCTTGCAGTCCCCATTGGCTCCTGCTCAGAGTGCCCTGAACCGCCATCTACAGCTCATGTTCATCCAGCTTTTCTCAATTTGGCAGTACGTTGCGAGCTGGGTATGATAGATGAAGTGGATTCGCTTTGCCTTGATTTCATTGCTGCTTTCAGGAAGGTAAGCCTTGTCTCTCGGAATAACTTCACGTCTATCATTCGTTGATTTTGAACAGTTTTAGTATTTGGCGGATTGGGTTACGCAACGTCAGAAAGAAAATCGTGATCCGACTTCGCTAAGTCATGATTTAGACGTCGCCATCAGGCCTCAGATAGCTCACCTTACCCAAGAAAGTAAGCACCTTCAACAATTTCTAGGTTCTGATCGCATTCTCTCCTTTGTAAATAAAAGGTAATCTGCAGGTCGGTGGCCACTTCCATACGCTCTGGGTAATATAGTGCGACAGCTGAAGAAAGAAATAATGAAAGTGGGCACGCCAGACCGAAGTGGAAACTTGCTGGTGACCTACTTTTTTTTAGTTTTTTTTTCTTCGAAAACTTTTCAAGATATGCTAGGTCATCTATACAGTTGACTACCTAAACATTGATGTTCACTTCTATTAGGTTGGCGGGAAAGTTTTGTCACATTTTTTAAACCTATCATATCAGTCCTCAGATCGATAGCGTCCAATCGATAATAGCAGCAGTAATAGCCAAGGTAAGGCTGATCCTAATAGTAGTGCCCGTTTCACTTTTCACTCCCCTTCTACAGAATGGAGCACGAATTCGTACCAGACCGTGAGCACCTGCGCCACATCATCCTTTTTTTCTTCCACTCCGGATCGAACGCGACAGCTACCGAAGCCAAAATAAGGGATGTGTATAAGGAGCATGCCCCCAGTTATCGGACGATCTTGCGGTGGTACCAGCGCTTCACGACCGGGGACTACAGCCTTGAAGACGAAGACAGGTCAGGACGCCCATCAGAACTGGACATGAGGCAGCTACGGCGCGTACTGAAATCGGACCCCTTCCAATCCACAAGGGATATGGCGAGCACTCTTGACACTCACCATTCCACTGTGGAAGCTGGATTGCAGAAGCTGGGAATAACTAAAAAACTGGGCCGTTTTGTGCCACACCGCCTCAAGCCTGCCGACCTTGATCGCCGGGTGGATGCTTGTTTGACCCTGCTGACTATGCATAAAGGGTACAAGTGGCTGGACCATCTCATCACTGGGGATGAGAAGTGGATCTATTACGACAACTTCCACAGGAAAGCGCAGTGGGTTCGACCTGGAGAAGAGCCCAAGGAGACCCCGAAGGAGATGCACCCGAAGAAGGTTTTGTTGTCCGTATGGTGGGGTGTACGGGGTCCCGTTCATTGGCAACTACTGGATGAGGGGGTCGCCATCACGGCTGACCTCTACACGCAGCAGCTGAGAGATTTAAAGACAGCGCCCGCGATGGACTTTGGCAGGTCTCAGGGGTCAAATTTGTTAGAACAGGTGGCCAATGAAGCACTAATCAAAAAAAAGTAGGAAAAAGGTGTGGAAGAGCGTGAAATAAGACCCTACGAAGTTTAAGGCATGTGGACGAGTTTCGCACACCTTTGGTGAGTTTCTCTCCAATACACGTCGCCGCCTCGGAACTCCTAGAAAATTCAGCTATCAATGCCAGCAAGCACTGATAACTGTTAACCAGTCGGGGCGGGATTAACAGGAAAGGAGGCGTCAGCTCAGCCTTGTTGACTCCGCCCTCGTCAACCAATCGATTTCGAGCCGCAAGAGTGGGATTTCCTGCTGTGGTTGCGACTCCGCGTTCGTTTTCATTGGAGGGTTTTTTCACTTTGGTTGATCGCGGACGCTGCCTTTAAGAAAATCGTGGATTTACGGGAGGGATCTCTCCGAAAAGTCTACTTCCAGCATGACAACGCCAGACCGCACACAGCACGAAGTGTCAAATCGGAGCTGGTGCAATATGGCTGGACAGTTCTGCCTCATCCCCCGTACAGCCCAGACCTCGCTCCTTCCGATTACTGGTTATTCTCCGACCTAACCCGTTACCTGGATGGGAAGAAGTTCAAAACCCGTGCCCAGGTCGAAGTTGAGCTAGCATCGTATTTTGCCTCGCGTGAGGCTCAGTTCTGGAGGGATGGTATCCATAAGCTACCTGGACGTTGGCAAGAAGTAGTCGACGCAACGGTGATTACATTTGATCTAATATGTCTCTATAGAGTAATAAATATTCTTTTGAAAAAATGTGACAAAACTTTCCCGCCAACCTAATATGTTCGCATTTGACTTCCAGGGCATAGAAAATGTGACGAAATGGTTAGATGATTGCGAAGAGGAGTACTTCGGTAGCGCATACCGGGCCATTTCTGATTATCTCTTGGGAAAGATGAGGACAGCTCCGAACGTCATTACCTACGACTGGTAAGGATTGTTTTTAGAGATCAGCTCAGCCTCACCATTTCAGTCACTGTGTTTAGTAGCCTAAGTGAATAAGTTGACTTTTAGGTGTCCTTTGGTGAATAGAGTGCTTCTGGATGCCGTGGAGAAAGACTTCAATGCCGTATTTACGGTGATAGATCCGGAAATGGAGGGAAGAGGTGAGTGGCGAGTCCAGTTCTTGATGAAAGCGGTGTGAATAGCATCTGGTCAGGGAACTCAGTTGAAGAATTTAGGGATGCGACACGTTAAAGTGTTTGTCGAACGTAAAATCCGTTGTCGCTACACAGATTTGAATTCAGTCGGTACAGTTATGAAGAACGTGAGTTTTTACTTCAAAGAAATTTGGCCTTTCTTCGCTAATCTAGCCGTTTCTACTATTGACGAGAAACTGTTTTCTTTCCTTATTCTATCTTTTGAATTTGTTCTTCTGAATCAAATGTGAGTTGCTGTAATATAAATAGAATTGATGGCGCTGTTTCTCCTAGAAGGTACTTTGTTGTGAGCGTCTGTCAGAATGCAGGAAAATAGTAAGAAAGATGTGATACGAAGAGAGGTGGTATCACACATTTTGAGTGGCCATGAAGCACTGCAGGTTGAATATGGCAATACCTGGATGAGGGTCGGTGCTCTCTGTGCCTGTGAGTGCCTGTGAAAATGCATCATGACTTAGCTTCCTCTAGGCTGCCTTCATACTTTGCGGCAGCGTACGCTAGCGTTTCCCAGCGTTCGGCAGCGGCAGTGACAAGGAAAGGATAGATATCGATCTAGCGTTTGCCAGCGTCACCAGCGTGCGCTAGCGTAGCGAGGGCAAGGAAAGTATAGGTATCGATCTAGCGTTTGCCAGCGTTTCACTAGCGTTTGCCAGCGGCGGGGACTAGAGAGTGGGAGAGTAGGAGAGTAGCGAACGG